ATAATTTATTATTTAAAATATGAAAACAATATAATTTTATCTATATTTTTCTTATACCATAAAAGTTTATATTATAATCGCAACTAAATAATAAAACTTGCAACTAAACAATAAAACTTACAACTAAATAATAAAACTATTATATATAAAAGATTAACAATATCTAAATATATAATTTTCAATATTTATTTATTATAAATTACTAATCTCAAAATTGAATACAATACACAAAATTTTTTTCATCTTTTATGTATCTAACAAACTACTTTTATAATTAAATAATGAAATAATTCTATCTAATTTAATACACAATCTATATTTGTTTATATAATACCAAAATATATTTTTGCAATTAATATTAAAAAATAATCATCTACCTAAAACACAAATTAAACTAAACATAAATTCATGAGATATCAGATATCAAAAAAAAAAATTTAAGATTTAACAAGATTCTAATCCATCATTTTAACAATTAAATACAAATTATATTTTTGGATTTTACTTAAAAACACATAATAATTAAAAAAATTAAAATAAAATAAAATTCAGAAAACTCACTTGTAGGGTAGATTAGAGAGAAATATACTTGTAGATGCCCAGATTTAGTGAAAAACACAGCAGATTTGCAAAAATCAAAAAAAAAAAAAAAACCAAATCTTAGGCAGTCGAAACAAAATTGTTAGGCTATAAAAAAAAAAAAAAAACTTGTAGATGCCCAGATCTAGCAAAAAACACAGCAGATCTGCAAAAAAATAAAAATAAAAAAATCTTAGGCTGTCAAAAAAAAATTTGTAAGGTTGTGAAAAAAAGAAAAAAAAAACACCCGCGAGATCGCTGGACACTAACCTGCTGGGAAAACATTCTTTGCCTCAGTGGTTGGCCAAAGATTGGAGGAGGAGAAGCATGTAGCACAGAGGAAGAAATAAGGAAGAAAAAGCAGAGGAAATCACAAATGCATTGCAGAATGGGAGGGGACGGGCACCACAAGGATTAAGGGTGTAGGGGACCTTATACGGACCGATCTCGGTCCGTATAAATATGACAATGGGCCCCAACGTCTCATCGGTTCAGGGAATCCCTGATGCCTATTTTCAAACCGATTTCGGTCTGAATATACTTTAGATTAGTAACGGTCCGTAAATTCAATGGATCTCAGAACTTTGCTCTTGATATACAGACCGATTCTGGTCCGTATATCTTTATTTGACTAATATTTTATTTCTAATTTTTGTTATTTAATATTTAGTTTTTACGAAAAAATATTCAGACCATCTTCAATCTAAATATGTATGGATATTCAAATCGAAACCGATCCGAATATTAAACGAGCATCGTCATTTCTGAGTTATATATATGGACCGAATATGGTCCGTATATATTTATTTAAATAATATTTTATTCTTAATTTTTTTGTGATTTAATATTTATTTTTTATGAAAAAATATTTGGACCGTTTTCAGTCTGAATATTGTTGGTGTGTTTGCATTGTTAATTCCCGCCATAAATATACGAACCGAAACCGGTCTGAATATGTTAAAGGATGAATATGGTACCACCTTAATATATTCGGACCGATATTTGTCTGAATTTATATTTATACGGACCGACATTATTCGATCCGTATATTGTCGGTTTGAATTAATCCTTTTTCTAGTAGTGATTTTCTTCATCATCTGCTTTCTTATAACATATCATTTCCCTTTATCTTCTCATCCTCTAATTTCCTTTTCATCTTCTTTCTTCTCTATTTCTAATTCTTCTTTATTTTTTTTTTATTTTTTTCTTATATTTCTTATTCTTATCGAATTTACGTAATTTTCTCTTTAGTAAAATTATACTGATTGATTTTGGTTTATTTTGTAGGTATAATTACCAAGATAATATGTGAATTGAAGGTAATATTGCATTTTAATGAATAATATTTTTGTTAAAATGCCAATTTGATCCCTCAACTTTCAAATTTGTACCAAAACTATCCCTAAACTTTAATTTTTGGTGCTAAAATAATCCTCAAACTTTGAAGATAATACCAATTTAATTAGTCACTAAACTTTAAAGAAAAGTACCGGTTTAAATTTTATACTTTGATTGCAAATACCAATTTGTTTTCAATTTTGGTTATATATCAATTTGATATATAAATAAAAATATGCACAATGGCAAAATATAACTATTTGATTTTATACGTCATTAGTATTTTAAAAAGGAATCAATTTTGTGATAAAACAATGAATAACATAACACTTCTATCAATTGAAGGACTTTTTGGTATTAAAAATTAAAGTTCAGGACAATTTTGGTACTTTTTGAAGTTGAGAGAAAATTTTGATATAAATCAAAAAGTTGAGGGACCAAATTGCTATTTTAAACTTTTTTTCATTTTTTTCATAACATAATTGATGAAATTGTGTGTTTGTTTAGGAAATTTTATTAATTGTATGAGTTCTTCACTTTTGGGCATACATGCGGTATTTGTTTACTACTTTAAAATTTTAACTATTAATTGTGTTTATTTTTATCAATTAATATTGTGTTAATGTAATTAATTTTAGTTTTTTTTTAAGAAATGTGAATTATTGACTTTTTCTGTTATTATATATGTATAAATAAATTTTTAATCTGTGTTTATATATGGTGGTAATGATTATTTATATACACTAGTTATGAAAATTTTTAAATTATTGAAAAATTAGTAAAATTTCTATTATATTTTTGTAATATAACTATAATTTTGTGATTATATATAATTTTATTGTATATAAATATTACTCCATTATTTATGTTCTTATGAATTTTATATATTATTATAAAATTATCAGACTAGAAAATAAATTTTTTTTATTTTATTTTATAGGAAAACATTTGAGCGGTGTCAAATGTAATATTTTTTTTTTCACAGTTCGTTTTTTTGCCATGTCAAATACCATTTGGCATAAGCTTTTTTGAAAGGGACATTTGACAGTGCTTAAACAGTGTCTATTGGTTTTTCTCACCACATATTATTTTTCTAGTAGGGTACCATGTTGGTATTTATTGTATTCATTGACCTGGTTTATGTAGAAAAATACTTTTAATGGTAGAAAAACTAAGCATCCTTGAACATTTCGACGGTTTTTACTTTCAGCAAAGTAGTTTGCATAGGAAAGTTCTAACAAAGCATTTAATGGTATTTTTTGATCAAGTTGTCATTTAGCCGTTTGAGCCACATTGATGAAAGTTAACATAACAGCATGTGTAACTACGCCAGTGAATTTACCTTGTTGAATTTGTGCACTCTAATAATGCAGCCATACCATTAACAAAAAATACACACACTCCAAAGAAAAAAGAACCATGGAAATCAGCAATATTCTTTCATGGTTTCTCTCTTTTCTAGCTGCATTACACTATATTATTGTTTTTAATACTTTATCAATATTAAAATTGATTTAAAAAGTGGAATTGAGATCAATAGGAGATTTTAATCAATAATTTTTAGTAATATATACTATGAATTTAATGAAAGTTAGAAATAAATTAATGTGATTTCTGTAACATTAATGATAAGTTCCCTAAAAAATTTCTATGTAAACTTAAGGTTTCACAAAGCATTTTTATCTATATATTTAATTTTATATAGTGATACAGTGATTTAATAAGTGATGATATATTCAATATATCTTGAGAAATTTTATTGAATATAATATATGAAATTTTGTTGTAGCATGAGTAGTAACCAATCTTGAAAGTGTATTAATTTAATATCTATATTAAGGTTATGGTAAACTCTGTGGGTCGTTTCATTAATTGGTTTAAATATCATTTTGGTCCCTCAACTTTTTACTTTGACACTAAAATTATCGTTTAACTTTAAAAAATATCAAAATTATCTTTAAACTTTCATTTTCGATACGAAAATGATCTTTTTGTCAGTTAAATGGACAGGTGGCACATTAACTTCCCAACAAATCATTTTTTTTTTTTCTTAACTAATGACATGAAATAAAAAACATAGTTGACCATCTTTTGTATGAGTTGGCATTTTTATTTAATTTAAAATAATGATAACTTTTTTTTTTTCATCCACGTCATCTCTTCTTCCTCTTTCACTTTCTCTCTCTTTCACCTTTCCTTTTCCCTTATCTCTGCAAACCCAAATCTGGGTTTTCTCTCAAACTTCATCTTCTTCCTCCTTTCCTCCTCCCTGCTCATCCTTCTTCTTTCTTTTTCTTATTCTTTCTCTTTCTCTTTCTCTCTTCTCCCTTCTTCTTCCTCTCTCAAACCTAGATCTGGGTTTTTCTCAGTCAGAATCAATCCCTTCTGCGGCGGCATTTAAACCTTTTATTGGAATCACAAAATACTAAACCAAATGTAGTAGATATTAAACAAAAGTCAGCTCAAACAAAAGGTAAACCCAATGTT